TTCCTGACCTCAACATTTTTAAAAGTGTTGCCATTTTCATGCTGAATGACTATCCTGGGTTTGTTAGGTGTTTCCTCATGATTTTTTTTTTTTAAAGATTTTATTTATTTGACAGAGAGAGACACAGGGAGAGAGGGAACACAAGCAGGGGGAGTGGGAGAGGGAGAAGCAGGCTTCCCGCGGAGCAGGGAGCCGGATGTGGTGCTCGATCCCAGGACCCTGGGACCATGACCTGAGCCGAAGGCAGACGCTTAATGACTGAGCCACCCAGGCGCCCCTCCTCATGATTTAGATTCACGTTACGCATTTTTGGCAGGAATACTACACAAGTGATGTGTCTTTATCAGAGATCCATATCAAGAGTTCCGTATTTATTTGTGCCAATAATAGCAATATTCATTTTGATTGCTTAATTAAGGTGGTAAATGCCAGATTTCTCTTTTGTAAAATTCTTATTTTTCCAATTGTAATTAACAAGTATCTCGTGGGCAGAGGTTTTAAGACTAATATTCCATCGGGGGGGAAAAAAGACTAATATTCCATCATAAAACTTTCACCCACCTAATTTTTGCATTCATGATGATTCTTGCCTAAGACAAATATTACTGTGCTGGCCACCAAGGGGTGAGTTTTCTAATTATGTCATTTCTTATGTATTCAGTGATATTTTACTTTAAAGAAATGAGTTTTCCCTTCTCTCCTACTTGTTTATACATTTGCATATTTATATAAATATGGATCCATGGACTTATTTTATTCTTTTGGTTATAACCTGCTATCATTATTTGAATGCTCTAACTATTCCAGATTTGGCAGTGTTAAGCTGGTTGCAGTGTTCTTTTGACAAGACTGCATCATTAAATTTTTGAGGTTTGTTCTATGACCTGGCACTTGATCTATACTGTATAATATTCCCTGTGCACTTGAGAATAATGTATATTCTGCTGTAGTTGGGTGGAGTGCTCCATGTATATGTTAGGTCAAGGTTTAAAGTGTTGTTCAAGCTGTCTATTTCTTTGTTGATTGTTATGGGTTGAATTGTATCCCCGCAGAAGAGGTATGTTCGAATCCCGACCACACACCTCAGAACGTGACCTTATTTAGAGAGAGAGTCTACAGAGGTGATCATTTATTTTTTTTAAAGATTTTTTTAAATTTATTTATTTGAGAGAGAGAGAATGAGAGAGAGCACAAGAGTGGGGAGGGTCAGAGGGAGAAGCAGGCTCCCCACTGAGCAGGGAGCCCGATGCGGGACTCGATCCCAGGACTCCAGGATCATGACCTGAGCCGAAGGCAGTCGCTTAACCAACTGAGCCACCCAGGCGCCCGGTAATCATTTTTTTAAAAATATTTTATTTATTTAGGGGCGCCTGGGTGGCTCCGTCGTTAGGCATCTGCCTTCGGCTCAGGTCAGGATCCCAGGGTGCTGGGATCGAGCCCCACGTTGGGCTCCCTGCTCGGCGGGAAGCCTGCTTCTCCCTCTCCCCCTGCTTGTGCTTGCTCTCTCTCTGGCACATAAATAAATGAAATCTTCAAAAAGTAGTTCTTAAAAAAAAAAGAAAATTGGGGGCGCCTGGGTGGCTCAGTCATTAAGCGTCTGCCTTCGGCTCAGGTCATGATCCCAGGGTCCTGGGATCGAGCCCCGCATCGGGCTCCCTGCTTGGCAGGAAGCCTGCTTCTCCCTCTCCCACTCCCCTGCTTGTGTTCCCTCTCTCGCTGGGTCTCTCTCTGTCAAACAGATAAATAAAATCTTTAAAAAAAAAAAAAGACAATTGGAGGAAAATATAATTTTTGTAATAAAGTGACAGAGAACTTGGCTAAACTGTGTTCTAGTGCTTCGTACAAAGAACTTATAATGCACTGGAACGTTTAGCTGAACAGATTTCTAAGCAGAGTGTTGAAGACATGGCCTGACTTCTTGCTAATAGTACAATTTGGGAGGACAGAGATAAACTGAAAAATCAATTGTTAAGCATAAAGGAACTAGATTTTGAAAATTTGAAAGATTCTCAGCTTATCCATATTGCAAAAAATGAGAAAGCATGCTCTGGAGAGAACAAGGGTGTGCCTTGTGAATCCATCAGCCATGTCAGCAGGAATGCTACCAACTTGGATTGAAGAGGACAGAGAAAAGTGAATGAAGAAAGTCGTTGGCTGTCCTGGAAACAGGCCAATAGAGCTCTCTAGATGGGCACATGGGTCATCCTTAAAGACAAAGGAAGAGTGACCCGGAGGGCAGAACCACCTCCTTGGACTCAGCGGGTGAAGCCACCCTTTCAATTCCAGAGGCTCGTCCACCATCCAGGGATGAGGGGCAGGGCCACCACCCAGTGGTCTCAGAGGACCAAGCATTTGGCCAGAGAATTATTCCCAGGCCTTAAAATCTAATGGAATCTGCCCTGTTAGGTTTTAACTTGCTTGGGACTCACAACCCTTTTTCCTGATTTCTCCCTTTTAGGATAGGATAGTCTACTTTATGCCTGTCTAATCATTGTATTTTGGAAGCAGGTAATCTGTCTGGTTTCACACATTCCCAAACGGAGAGGAATATTGCCCCAGGATGAAGCATACCCCATCTCACCCACATCTGATTTAGATGGTATATAAGAGATTTTGGAGTTGATGCTTGGTGAAGTAAGCCGGCCGGGGAGAATGTATTTTGCACGTGAAAAGGACACAGATGGGGGGCAGGGAGCAAGAGGGCAAACTTACACGTTGAATTACGTCTGTTCAAAAAAGATGTATTGGATTCTTAGTCCCCAGTACCTTAGGATGTGAAGTTAATTAGCAATAGTATCTTTACAGAGATAATCAAGTGAAAATGAGATAATTGAGGTGAGACCTAAGCCAATAGTGGGATCCTTCTAAGAGACTGGGGCAGAGAGTTGACAGCAATGAGCCCTGAGGTGTTGGCAGAATAAGCTTCCTCCCGCAAGGCAAGGTCCACTTTTTCAGGTAGGGGAAGGGACTCGACAGCAGGACTTGGCAGGTTTTGTAAGCAACAGCATCTGCCACAACTCTGCCATTGTAGTTAGTGCAAAAGCCACCAGACAATACAATTAACGTATGGTTATGTTCCAATAAAACCTGACTGATGGATGCTGAGACTTGAATTTCAAGTAATTTTCTCAATTGGTGAAGTAGTTTTGATCTTTTTGCAACCATTTAAAAACATAAAGACTTCTTGGCTCCGTCTGTACAAATACAGGCAGCGAGCTGCCGCCAACATCTAAGCTGCGTGTCTGAGTGAAGCGCATCCAGTGCAGTTTCTCAGGAGTCTGCCAGGCGGAGTCCTCACACTTCTGTCAGGTATCCCTACATGAACTGTCAAGAGACTACTTTTTCTAGGGGCATCTGGGTGGCTCAGTCGATAAAGCATCTGCCTTCAGCTCAAGTCATGATCTCAGGGTACTGGGATTGAGCCCCACATCACGCTCCCTGCTCGGCGGGGAGTCTGCTTCTCCCTCTCCCTCTGTCACTCCCCCTGCTCGCTCTCTCTCACAAATAAATAAATCTTAAAAAAAATTATTAAAGAGACTACTTTTTCTATACCGATACATGTTTCTATAAGGGATTAGCAAGCACGTAAAGTGGATGGTTTAACTCAGCAACGTCACAGTTAATGCTCTTCCTTGAGATGAGCTTTCAGGGGTTCACATCTGTCACTGTTGTGATTAAGAGCTAACAGGACCAGAGAAGCCATCCCATCTCCTGTGTCAGATTTCCTCATAAACTAAAAACTCTTCTATGGCAATAGCCTTCAGTGTTCCCAGAATCTTGTCATCAGGGGCCACAAGGTTCTTGGTGTAAACAAGCAACAGCACTTTGTACTATGGGCTAAAGTTTCCACATTGGAATGTAAACAAGAACCTGATTTTCTTCTTGCCTCAGGAAAAAAGCCCTCTTCTGTGACTTATACACTACTCCCCAGCAACAATTTATCGATTAAAGCCCTTCAGTAATATGAGATAGAAATTCACTCTCCTTAACGTTAGCAGAAAAACATGTTTATTGAAGAGAGGCGGAAGCACACAGGCCAGAAAACCAGGTTCAAAGAGGGACAGCAGCCAGACTTATTCTGGGAAACCAATACAGCAGGAAGGAATTGATGGCCCTCCATTCTGGGGCAAGAGTAAGTTAGTCCCACACGTCCCTTCTGGTTCACATGAGGCTGAGTCAGAGACTCAGGATCCAGGAACGAGGTTACCATGAGCTGGCAGTGGGCATAATGCTCACCTGTAGCTGGTGCAATAGGTGCCCTGAGAGACACCAACCCGGAGATGCACACACCAGAGAGGTGCTCCTCCAGAGAAAACTAGGGTGTTCTCGCCAATCAGTGGAGAACACACTCTGAACTGCTAAAATATAATCTCTCTCTCTGCTCCTACACAACAGCCCCGTGATAACTGTCAGACCCACTTATGAAGACTGCTGAGTAAGTAAAACTCATTTGGGGAACAGTATCTTTCCATTTATTAAAAGCCACATTACTTTAGTTGCTAAGAAATAAAGAGACAAAACTGATATTTAGCATTTAATATGGAGAATATTAGGGGATGTTATTCCACAAACTACCAAATATATGTATGACAAGTTACATTAAAAAATAAAATACCAAAGTTTTAAAAAATGCTATTCAGTGTTACTCAAGAAAGTCACACTAAATAACTCTTAACCTTCAGAATATGTTCCTTGATGTTTTCCTGACCATTGCTCTATTTACATGTTAAAAAACAACTTTATACTCCACCATGAAAAAATCCACCATTTAAAATTGAGATTTTCTTCACTCTAAAACATAGCTTCAAATCTGGAATGTGACTCTCCACACATAACACATTCCTATGGGAAAATGCTTTCCTGATTTATTAAATTTGGCAAGTTTTAAATATGAATTCTCTGAATTTTATCTTTATCATGATGCTAGTGTACTTCATAGTTACTGCTCCTCATTCCTTGAGTTCTCGTCTACCGACTCGTAGGACTTATTTCTGAAAGCTTTTGCCCATTCATTGCAAATATGACGGTCTCTCTCTGACTTAATTGATAAGAGTGTACTTTTAGGACTTCCTGCTTCTGCATCCCATCTCCATTATCATCTAAAGTCTCCTGAGAATCAACGTCTGTGAGAAAGTCCCTAACATCTACTTCATTCTAATTTCTCACTTGTGAGTTTTTCGATGTATACGAAGCCCTGAGTTCCAACAAAAGGATTTCCCACATTCAGAGCATTTCCACGGCTTCTCTCCTGTGTGCACTCTCTGATGTTCACTGAGGGACGACTTCTGAGTGAAGGCCTTCCCACATTCACCACACTTAAAAGGTTTTTCTCCCAAGTGAGTTTTCTGGTGTATCTGAAGTGACGCCTTCCTGGGATAGGCTTTCTCACATTCGCTGCATTCATAGGGTTTCTCCGTAGAGTGAGTCCTCTGGTGTATGATGAGCTGGGATTTCCCACAAAAGGCTCTCTCACAGAAACTACATTCGTAGGGTCTCTCTCCAGTGTGCGTTCTCCTATGTATAACAAGATATGATTTGCTGCTGAAAGCCTTCCCACACTCATTGCATCCATAGGGCTTCTCGCCTGCATGTGCTCTCAGATGTGCGGTGAGCTGTTCCTTCCTACCGAAGGCTTTCCCACATTCACTGCACTGATAAGGATTATTTCCTGTGTGGATTCCCTGGTGAACAACAAGTTGTGTCTTCATATTGAAGGCTTTCCCACAATCGCTGCACTGGTAGGGTTTCTCCCCTGTGTGCATTCTGATGTGAACCAGGAGGTAGGACTTACTCCTAAAGGCTTTCCCACATTCACTGCATTTATGGGGCTTCACTCCTGTGTGAGTCCTCTGGTGTACGACAAACGGTGACTTCAAACTGAAGGCTTTCCCACACTCCCCACATTCATAAGGTTTCACGCCTGTGTGGCTTCTCTGGTGTAAAAGCAGCTGTGATTTCCAGCTGTAGGCTTTCCCACATTCACTGCAGCCGTAAGGTTTCCCCCCTGTGTGAATTTCCTGATGGACAATGAGCTGTGACCTGAAGGAGAATACCTTCCCACACTCACCGCAGGAGTAGGGCTTTTCTCCCGTGTGCACCCTCTGATGAGCATTAAGGTTTGACTTGGCACTGAATGCCCTTTCACATTTGGTGCATTCGTAAGGCCTCTCTCCCGTATGAATTCTGAGATGGACAATCAGTTGTGACTTACAACGAAAAGCTTTCCCACATTCATTACACACACAGTTTTTTTCTATACTATGAGCTCTTTGATGCTTAAGAAAATAGGATTCTTCATATCCATGGAACTTATCAGGATTTTTTCTCAGACAGCTTTTGGTTGAACCTGAGTTTTGTGTCAGACTTTTTCCATGTGTGTTGTACTTATGGATTCTTTGTCTTGAAGGAACATGGGTTCTGCTCAGATGACGTTTTCCAAATGCGCCACAAGCATAACTTCTCCCAATATTTTCAAACTCATCTTGATTTTTCTGGTACCATTCTTTCCAACCTTCTAGGAAAAATAAATATATATATATATATATGTATTTTTAATCATCAATGTAGCTGATCTGGAATTAGAGAGCTATAAAACTGTCATATAATGAGTGTTTTTTGCTTAATAACAGGCCTCAAACACTGGTTCAAAAGAAATACTGGCCAAGCCCACATGTGCCATATATCTGAGCTATGGAGCATGAGGAACTGTGTTAAACCAAATCCCATTATGGAAATGGATGGCAAATTAGCAGTGATCAAAAATGATTTTTTAAAATAGAAGCTTAGGGCCACCTGGGTGGCTCAGTGTGTTGAGTGTCGGACTCTTGGTTTCAGCTCAGGTCATGATCTCAGGATGAGATGGAGTCCCACGTCGGGCTTGTGCTTACTGGGGAGCCTGCTTGAGATTCCCTCTCCCCCCACCCCACCCCCGCTCACACACACTCTCCTCTCTCTCAAAAAAAAAAAAAAAGAGAACACGAGGCTTAAGATGCTTAGCCTGCACTTAGGAGCCAACACCATTTATCTTATATCTGAATGTTATTATTACAGGGGCTTATTCAAAAAGTGAATTCAGAGGATACCGAGTAACCAGGGTATAACATTCAGACAGGTACAATGAGACGTTAAAGTAAGACTCAGTTAGCCATAGGAAAATTAGGGGCAAGAGCATTCCAAACAGACGGAAAAGCACATACAAAATTCTTGAGAAAGGAACACCTGTTTGGCACAGTTAAGAAATAGAAAAAATGGGATGCCTTGTTGGCTTGGTCGGTGGAGGCTGTGACTCTTCTCAGGGTCATGAGTTTGAGCCCCAAGTTGGGTGGGAAGCCCACAAGTTTAAAAAAAAAAGAAAAGAAAAGAAAAATATTTTGAAAAAAGGCTGGGACAGCTAAAACTCAGTGAACAGAGTGCGTCAAGAACCAAATAGGCAGGGGCGCCTGGTTGGCTCAGTCGTTAGGCGTCTGCCTTCGGCTCAGGTCATGATCCCAGGGTCCTGGGATCGAGTCCTGCATCAGGCTCCCTGCTCCATGGGAGGCCTGCTTCTCCCTCTCCCACTCCCCCTTGTTTGTGTTCCCTCTTTCGCTGTGTCTCTCTCTGTCAAATAAATAAAATCTTAAAAAAAAAAAAAAATAGGCAGGCAAAAAAGTTTTCATCTTACCCAAAGGTAAGAGGACATCTTGATTCGTGTTGTGCTTTCTGGAGTATTTTTTTTTAAGATTTTATTTATTTAGGGCGCCTGGGTGGCTCAGTTGGTTAAGCGACTGCCTTCAGCTCAGGTCATGATCCTGGAGTCCCGGGATCGAGTCCCACGTCGGGCTCCCTGCTCAGCAGGGAGTCTGCTTCTCCTTCTGACCCTCTTCCCTCTCATGCTATCTCTCATTCTCTCTCTCTCAAATAAATAAATAAAATCTTTAAAAAAAAAAAAAGACTTTATTTATTTGTCAGAGAGAGAGAGAGAGACGGAGAGAGACAGAGCGAGCACAGCAGGGGGAGTAGCAGAGGGAGGGGCAGGCTCACCGCTGAGCAGGAAGCCCAAAGCGGGACTCAATCCCAGGACCCCGGGATCATGACCTGAGCCGAAGGCAGACACTTCACAAACTGAGCCACCCAGGCGCTTCTCACGTTGTGCTTTTAAAAGATGTTTGCCTGTTATGTAGAAAATGAGCAGGAGAAGGGCTGAGAGACAAACGAGGAAGCCCTTGTAGTAGTGCGGGAAGACGTCACAGTGGTTTGGACTAAACTCTGGAGCTGAGCAAATGTGGAATGCATCTGGAGAGAACCAAGAAAATCTACCAAAGGACTGGGTGAAGGAGAAGGTGAGAGAAGGGGAGGCTTTAAGAACTCCAGATTTTAGGCTGGAAAACAGGAGGTGCTGCTCTCTGAGAGGCAAAATGTTTGCAGGAAAAATTAAGGACTTTGTTTTGTATCTGACTACCCTTGAGATCTCAGCTAAATACCCAAGTGGAGAGGAGACAGCAAGTAGGCAGACAGACGGAAGTTCAGTGCTCAGAGAAAAGCAGGAGTCAACATGTAAAAGGTCTTAAACACCATGAAGGACGAGACCTTCCAGGGAAGGTGAGCAGATGACACATGTGGCTGGACAATGATGAGGCCCAACAGGAGCATGATGCTGAGTGTGAGGCCCACAGGGCACCAGGAAAGGCACACTCATTAGGGGCACAGCCTCATCATGTTACTACAGCTGTCCTGTGGGGCCATCAGGGGCTCTCCTGCCTCCTCAGGACCTCCTGATAAACCCTCTCTCCCCACTCATGTGGGAACAGTTCGCATTATGGTTTGTGCCTCAAAGTAGGGCCACTAAACTCAAGGATGGGGGTGAGAATACCAAGACCAGTGGCTAGAAGACTTCTCAGGCTTGAATAAATGCTCAGACCACTTTTGGTTGTTGGTATTGGCTTCACAGAATTAGTCGGAAAAAAAAGACTGACTGGAAGCTTGTTGGGTGGGGTTTTTTTTTTAAGATTTTATTTATTTATTTATTTATTTATTTATTTATTTATTTATTTATTTATTTATTTATTTATTTATTTATTTATTTATTTAACAGAGAGAGAGAGAGAGAGCACGAGCAGGGGGAGCAGCAGAGGGAGAAGGAGACTCCCTGCTGAGCAAGGAGCCCAATGCAGGACTCGGTCCCAGGACCCTGGACTGAAGGCAGACGCTCAACCAACTGAGCCACCCAGGTGCCCCACTTGTTAGGTTTTGAAGGAAACCTAAGCCTGGTCTGATAACAGCCTATGATTCTTTAGCCCCAAATACGCCCAAATCTGCACCAACAGACAGGACCATATTCTCTCCAAGCATTGTCTCATCTATGCCAACAGGACAAAAATACTGGAGTGAACAGGGAAAGTATGCCAGTGCTAGAGCAAGAAGTCTTCTTTGATTTTTTTCTCAAAGAGGAGAGTGTGTGATGGACTGCTATCCCCTATCCACCCCTCTGCAAACAGGAGCTTCTGTTATAGTTTCCGGATCCTTCCCCACCACTGCATGTGTCTAGAATAGACAGCTGATCTTTTAACCCCATGTCCGTTCAGATCGTGAGGCCACAGCCACATCTGTGTGAAGGTACCACACCCATCTCAAGAAATCTTGGACTTGCAACTGGACTCGGGTCCAGGATGAGAACACATGCTGCCCCCCTTGAGGAAGGAATGATCACGTTTTGTTAACATTAGCATTTTTGAAGCTGCACACACCCAAAGGTAGGACTCACACTATTCGCAGAGCCACACGAACTTCCCTTCTTCCATGCACCAGCCCTGACTGGTGAGGACATGGTCCATGTGGTCCCCCACCGAGCCCTCCCCACCCCCACATCACAGCTAATTCAGGCACTGGCATGTCAGCTCTAAGAAAACATGCCGGCAGGCTTCTGAGAAAGAGTCTGCGGACTGGTGAAGGGGATTTTGGGGAAAGAAACAGGACTTATCCAGTGACTCCTGCTGTGTCTGCATATGATGCCTGGCATGGAGGAACCTACCAGGACAAAGGAAAAGAAAAGCATAACCTCTCAGGGTGAGAAAAGGGAGGCAGATGGATCGCTGACATCACCAAGCTCCTTGTTTTTAAGTTAGATAGTTAGTTAGTTATCTATGTATGTACGCATCTATCTAATCTATCATGAGGGGCAGAGAGAGAATCTCAAGCAGACTTTGCACTGAGCACAAGCCCGATGCAGGGCTCGATCCTAGAACCCTGAGGTCATGACCTGAGCCGAAATCAAGACTGAGCCACCAAGAACCCCTGACATCACTAAGCTTCTGAATTAAGCCACTGTGGAGCTGCTGTCCTATGACAGACAACTGTCATTTGAGACTATAAATTCCTTATTCTTTACTCTGGTTGAACCAGGGATGTAAGATACTTGTTTATTTTCTCAGACTAGTGGATAGGATGCTTATGAAAACAAATCCAGCAGGAATAGCTAAGGACAAGGCTAGAGTTCTCAAATATGGCTAAGAATTTGAGCTTCCCAGGCCTGAGAGAACACTGATCTGGTCTGGGTGACAACTGAGGGGACAGGAGCTATGAATATAAAACAGCAGCAAAAACAGAAGCAGTACTAAGATTCACAGCAGAGGTGAGCCTGGGGAGCCCAGGATATGGTACCACGAGTGCAAGAGCAGCAGTAAGAAACGTGGGGAGGCCAAAGACAGAGTTCCTTCCCACTTCTGCTACTGAGAATGGAAAGTGAGGAAGCCCGGGGCTCTTTACAAGCACTGAACATGCGGGGTGAGAGTGTGGAAGGCAAGAGGGTGAGGGTACCCATGGGACGTTATGACACGGGAGAAAGAACAGCCTTTCAGCTGTTACAATACTGGTGAGAGAACAGCCAGATTTGGGAAATACGCCCGTCTGGAGGACTCCAGAGGTAAGGATAAAGAGGAGCCAGGAAACGTAAGGTGATAAAATCACTTCATGACACAGGTGAGACTGGGCTAGCTTTCAGAATCCTTCAGAAGAGTGCCCAAGAAAGTAACAGCTATAATTTCACAGTGAAAGAAAAGGAAACAAATGCAATCTCTGGAGAAGGTGATGCTGAGCACAGGACGAGGAAGACTGAGGGATTTATCTGTGGAAGGCAAGCGAGAAAGGGAAGTAGAGGGCGTGAGTCACACGAAGGGAGAGGAGAGGAACTCTCTGGAAGCAAGGACAACTAATGCAGTCCATGACCATGGGAAGGAAGGAAACTAACCCAGAAAGCAACATCTGAGCAGAGTGCAGACAAGAAGTCATGCCTGCCCCTCAGACCCAAGAGAGGAAAGCACAAACATGCGTAGAGCGATGGTCCTTTCCTTTCCTGAGGAGCTAGCTTGGCTAACTTGGCTCCTCCCGAGTTGCCCCAATGGTTCAAGAGCTTCAAAGCAGAGCTTCCACACAACACTGCCTGAGGTTCATGCCCACACCCCCATCTTCCTGGTTCCCACGCACCCACCTGGACAGCTCTGACGGGAAACTTTGGCATTTATTATCCATGGCTCCTCTCCTTGCTCCAACTTGAAGATTAAATCAGGTTTGGTACCATGATACCCTGTTGGTGGAAAATCATAAAGGATGTGGGCCAAGCTGCTAAGGACTAGGGGATCCAGAACTACAAAATGAAACTGCTCACTGGCACTTGGGGGAAGACTACAATGAGGAGATGAGGCCCAAATAGGGACTATGAGCCTTTGATCTCTGAAGTTCAAGCCCACAACCAGGAAGTACTTTGGAGACCTCAGGGTAGATCAACAAAAGAAAAAGGGTGGTGATTTATAAATCATAGTCTGAGATCAACAGAGAAGCTGCACTTACCCACAGATACCAGGTGGCTATAGTTCTCCAGTATCACATCCCTGTACAGGTACTTCTGCGTAGAGTCCAGTAACTGCCACTCTTCCCAGGTGAACTCCACAGATATATCCTTGAATGACAATAATCCCTGGAATAATATACATCCCATTCAATTGGATACCATTGCATTAGGTGACGTGGAACAGATGTACAGGAACTGGGAAGGAGAAATGTTCCTCCACAGACTGCCTCCTGTGCCCAGATCAGCACTGACTTTCAGAATAAAACAAAACAAAAACCGGGGCACCTGGGTGGCTCAGTCAGTGAAGCGTCTGCCTTTGGCTCAGGTCATGGTCTCAGGGTCCTGGGATCGAGCCCCATGTTGGGCTCCCTGCTCAGCAGGGAGCCTGCTTCTTCTCCCTCTCCCTCTGCCCCTCCCCCTGCTTGTTCTCTCACTCACTTTCAAATGAACAGATAAAAAAATCTTAAAAAAAAAAAATAAAACTTTTGAGCTTCCATGAGCCAGATACTATTTTTGGTCCTGAAAATTTCAGGACGAACACAACCAACTTCTGCCCTCAAGAAGCTTCTAGTCTTGGGACGCCTGGGTGGCTCAGTTGGTTGGGCATCTGCCTTCGGCTTGGGTCGTGATCTCGGGTTGGGCTCCCTGTTTGGCAAGGAGTCTGCTTCTCTCTCTCCCTCTGCCCCTCCCCCTGCGTTCTCTCTCTCTCTCTCAGATAAAATAAGATAAAATAAAATAAAATAAAATCTTCCAGTCTTGTAGAGGGAAATAAACATCTATACATGGAGAAGAAACAGGTGTTACAAGCCTTTGATAAAAAAAATTATCCAGGATATATTTTGCCCAGAGATGGAGAGAACAATTCTAAACACATGGGAAGGTGTGACATCTTGATAGCTGCTCAACCCATCTTGAGTCTTAGAGTGAGAGGTTGGCACCATAAAAAAAAAAAAAAAAAGGCCAAATAGGTAAATTCCTAGCCTTCTTTCCAGAGAATTAGGGGCCCATTACTGAGGTCAACCAGGGTTCACTCCATCATAGACTCCGAGCCTGGAGCTAGTGCTGCAGAGCTACAGATGATGGAGAGCCGCTGTGGCTGGGCAGGAGGCGGCAGTCCCCACCAGGCAGTTGTGAGACAGTAAGTGTGGTTCTTGACATCTCTGTGAACTACCCAGAATGCTTATAATAAGTTTCTTTCATGGGACCAAAAAAAAGTAGTAACAAGCTACAGGTCCTCACAGGATCATTCAACAAACATTTCTGAGACACTGACAATGTGCCAGGCTGTTCTTGGTGCTGGGGGCTCAGCCATGGACATGGTCCCTGGACTTAGTGCATTTCCATCCTTGCAGGGGAAGGTGATAGTAAACACATAACTACCCAACAAGCAGATGGTGATGGTGCTCTACCAAGACTCAAGCAGGGTAAGGGGACAGAGCCCAGGGAGGCAGGTGTAGGCAGTTGGAGTGGTCAGGAAGCTCTCTGGTAAGGGACTATTTGGGTAGAAACCCAAGCGATGTGAGAATGATACCAAGATTTGTGCAGAAGAGCCTTCCAAGGGGCATGAAAACAAAGGGCCAGGACTTCAGGGCTCAGAGGGTATGGTAAGGACTTGAGATTTCATTCCAGGTGAGGAGAGGCCATCCGAAGGCCTCAAGCAAGAGTGGGATGTTCTGACTCCCAACCAAGATTATTCTGACTGCTGTGGAGAAGGGAGGGTCCTGGATCTGGGGCAATGAAGGTAGCTGGAAGTAATACGCAGTGGTTGGATTCTGGGCATCAAGTGAAGACAGAGCAGACGACATCCTGACGGGAGATGACCAGCACACAGAGAAGGGTGTTGAGGACAGCAAGGATCCTGGCCAAGTAAACTGAAGACGCTGCCCTAACAAAGCGAGGGTGCCTGAGGGATGAGAAATGAGGGGAACAAGGGGCTGAAGCAGCAGCTGGACAGAATTCCCTGAAGCAGGGCACTGGGGGAAGGGAGGGAAGGAGGAGACCGTCTGGGTGTCCACTGAGCCCACAATCAGGAGGAACTGGCCCCGTGTTCAGGGATTTCAGTAAACCAGGAATCTGGTATCTCTTCTCCTCTGGGAATTTCTGAAGAAAAAGGCTTCTGGAACACTCTGTAAAGGCACTTGAGAAGTGAGGTCCAAAGATTCCTGGACTTGATCACCCCTGACAGGCTCCTTACCCAACAGCACTGCCTGCAGAAAGAGAGACCCAGGAGGGAAGAGACAGGGAATGCAATTCTGGGTGAGTCTGCAGAAGTGAGTGAGAGAATTGCTCACAACATGGAAATTCAGAGTAAGGCCCTGCCTCAGGCTCCAAGCAACCGCCTGGTGCTGAGCACCAACCACCTGACAACAGGAGCTTCTCTGGTCTAAGCACTGGTCTTCCCAACCCATGAGGAGCCCCCACAGGAGGAGGGAATAAAGAGATGAGCACTCCACCTCTCCTCCGCAGCCTGAGTGCGGCAAGCAGAGGAGGTGGAATTAAGAGCATGCACTGGACTGCCCAATGCCTGAAAGTGACCAGAGAAGATGAGACCGGAATATCACGAGCGCTCACTGAGACAACCCCTGGCGCCAAGGAAAGGGAGAGCGGACAGGGACGCCTGAGGCTGTGACTTCCTACGTTCAGATCCAGCCCAGGCCACTTGTCAGATCTGCGACTTTATAGCAGAGGAGAAGCCCAAGCAAGGCATACCAGCGTGACTGTGCACAAGCTTAAGGCAGACGCCACGAGAGTGAACACAGACCAAAGTGGCTGAGTATGCAGACAGGATGGAAGAAGAGAGTGGGAGTAAACCGTGAGGCTTATTTTAAGCTTTTTACTGTATTTTGAGCTTGATAAGAATAAAAATAAAATACAGAGAAACTATTAAAAAATTTTTTATTGGTCAAGAAATGAAGAAATTAAAAATAGAAAACTATTATGACCAAGACAGAATCCATAGCTCTAAGATAAAGATTTTTAAATATATGAGATTATTGTACAGAGGCAGTTCTACTGTATACTGCAAAAAATCACCACTATGCAAAGTCACACAGCAAACCCACAGGGAATATGGGGAGAATGGGGTTGGGGCACAACACCTTTGTCAGCAACACATAAAAAAGAACACCAGGAACCTATTAAAAACAGTAGCAGTTTTACATGTTTAATGTTTAAGAAATACATAAAATGACAATACATCACTTTACCCTGGAAAAGACCTGGTGTTTGGACATCAGAGGGGCTAAAGCTGATCATAAAGTGGTGGAAAGAGGGCTGTGTGAAGTCAGACAGAAGGCTCACACTGTTCCCTACGAAATCAATTGTGTTGAATTCATGTTTTTAAAGCAAACATGGTAGCAGATCTAACTATATTAACGAATTTGTTCCAATAAATTTGAAAACTTGGAAGAAATAAAAATTGTCTAAGAAAGTAAAAAGAACCCAAGCTGTCCCAGAAGGAAGTAAAAAAAGCAAGACTGACTAATCCATGATCACAAAACACACAGAAGTAGCAACCGAAGGTACACCCTCCGTTCCAGAGAGGCCATGCGCCCACACTACACTTAAAAGTAAGTTCTATCAACATCGCAGGAACATAAAATTCCCATCATGTCTCACCTGATGTTGAGCCCGGGAACCACGGGATGCCTGTACAGCACATGGCACAGACTTGCACAACCCCACAGACCAAACTAGGCAAGTATAGCACAAACTGTAGTCTTAACTCATTTATCATTAACTCTGATCAAAGTATCTAGATAAAAATACCACTCAAGTACAAGTCCTGTACACACATACAGAGCAAACTATGACAAGGAAATGTATCCAAAAAATTAAAGGACAGTCCAAAATTAACAACAAAAAAAAACCCATCAGTGAAATAAGTCACAGAAGTATATTAGCAGAGAGCAGCCAACCAATCATCTCAATAGATGAAACAAAGTAATGTGGTAAAATTCAACACTTTTAAAAATCAGAGCTCTTTCCAGGTGAGTTAAGTGCTGGGTGTTTCCTTCACTGGGGGCATCTGTCCAGCCTGAGAACAGGCAGGGGAGCCTCTGATGCCCCATGACAGCAGGCTTTCCCTGTGGTGCATCTGCTGAGTGCTGGTAAGCACAGGAACTGGGCTGGAATGGCGGACTGATTCTCCCACAGTCTCAAGGCACTGAGGACACAAAGAACCCTAGAGGGGAGCGTGCAATAACCACCCCCAACTACCACCAAGACCAGAGGTGAATGTACAATAACTAAAGCGGCACCCCAGGCCCAAACCACCACCAAGCCTGTTTGATTATATCATCAGTCATCTCCCTATCTGCATGGCAGAGGAAAGGGGAAACACTCTGGTAGAAGGTAACACTGAACTTCAGTCTCTGTAGTTGTTCCTTTATACCAACATAGGCATAAAATAGAAAATTTTGAGACATGTGAAGTGGCAAGAAAACAAGACTGATAAATCAAAGAAAAAAGCACACAACACAGACTCAACAGATGATCCAGAAGTTAGCAGACAACGTTAGAAATAACTGTCATAGTATATACTATTACAAATACTTAAAATTATAGAAGAAAAGTATACAATAGATTAAAAGGGAACTGGAAATCTGTTTTTAAAAAACCAGGAGACATTTAGAAATAAAGAATGGATATCACATTAACTGAGCATCATTAGAATAGTTGAATACAGGACATCCATCCTATGGGAAAATACTCCAAGCAAAGTTGACAAACTTTGTACTGGCCTCCATGCAGAACACCTGGAACTCACTGCTGATGGGACACAAAGCGGTTTCAGCGCCCCTGGAAAGTGTTTGGTCATGTTCACTAAACTTAAATACACACACACCCATCACTCCTAGATATATGCCAGGTGGTTGTCCACTGAGAGGGAGATTCTGCACCCCCGGGGATGTCTGGCACTGAGACTTCTGCGCTGGTCACGTAGAGCTGCTGGTATCTAAACGGGTAGAGGTCAAGGATGCTGCTCAACATCCTACAATGTACAGGATAGTCCTTCACAATGAAGAGTAATTCAGTCCAAAATGTCAATAGTGCTGAGGCTGAGAAATCCTGGCATAAGCCTAACAGAAATGAGAACTGATGTCCCTCAAAAGACGTGTACAAAA